ACTAGTTTGTGTCACCTTGCAGAGGGGGTCCAATGAAGATAAGATTGAGGATTTCCAAGTACAAGATGTTAGGAAGGAGCCTTGCAAGAGAAGTAGGAGCTACGCTGAGCCTCTTCAACCTGCTAAGGTAAGTCACTGTATGCAACTCAATAGTTCAATTCCTTGTTTGTTTCAGGCATAGTTAATTTGCTCTTTTCAATTGCTTTATTTGTCCTTAGTTAATGAGATGCCCAAATAATCATGCCTAATGTTTGGTACTTGTATAACTATTAGTTGACATAATTAAAGGCCTTACCATTTAATTACTTTGCCGAAGTGTGCCTGAAGCTTTGAAGTCTATTAACCAAATATTATTGCATGAGGCTCACAATCTAGTTTATACTACGCTAATGATTGCATAGTTTTGCCTGCTGTAGTATGTTTGTATGAAACCCTCTGTTGTTAATTATGCTCCCTAAGACTTTAATTGAGATACAGAATGTCCAACTCCTTGCTTATACGCAACGTGCTATCTAAATTTGTAACTTGTCTGTGTTTTCGATTGGGCCCCAACATCATTCTCCTCTGGTGAACTAAGAGGGATTTCTGTATGCAGGCTGCACAGACTATCTTTCTTATAATTTTTAAAATATCACCTGCTTATGCTTCATGACGTGTAACATTATTGTTAGTCCTGTTTTGCCATGTAGTACAAAATAGTGGCTTGCTCGCTTCACTGTTGTAACTATATTTTTGCCCTAGTCATGTGTACTTACAGAAACATTTTAGGATGAAGTGACATCAACACAAAGATCTGCGAGCAGTGCGGCATGGACGTTACCGAATGATTATGGATTGGAATTGGAATGTGCTGATGTTCTCGAGCATCAACTAGAGGTGGCAAGACAACGTGTACATGATTGTCAACATTTAATCAACAAGTTGAGACTGGACATGCATGTATTAGATGCAGGAGTCAAAAAAATGAAACAAGACACTGAGGTAACCATGAAGGAATTGGAGATTTTACAGACTGAAATTTGTGCTACCTGAATCCGGCCAATCTATTATAGTTCAAATGGAGTTAAGTTGATGCGCGTCCATGATGTATGAGCTATATTTGCCCAGTGTATGTAATTTGCTGTTTGTGTATGCTTTATTAACACCTGTGCCGAACCATAATGCCTAGTGGGTATAATCGGCTGTAATTTCTTTATTGTATAGTGTAGGATTATTCTACCTTTCTATGCCTTGATCTCTTTGTTGTATAGTGTATGCTTTTTAGAGGTGATAGTATTGAGTAGGATAATTCTTTGAATATGCTATATCGTTCAAACGGGGGCCAACTCGCCCGACCATGGCCCTTCACGGGCCGTACGATCCCATGGGTCATGTACGGGCCGTTGGATCCATGGGCCTTCAATCGGCCGTCAGACCCATGGGCCTTCATTGGGCCATCGGCTCCATGGGCCTTCAGTGGGCCGTTGGATTAATGGGCCTTTAGTGGGCCGTCGGATCCATGGGCCTTCTACGTCTCGTAGGATCCATGGTCCTTCTATGTCTCATAGGATCCACGGGCCTTGTAAGGGCCGACTCATTTATGGGTATTGACGGGCCTTTAATGGGCCGTAGACGGGCCTTTAATGGAAATCGTACGTTTTATGGGCTGACCATAACGGTCCGTTAATAGGCCGTATTTGGTGATGCTATGAAAATGGCCCAACAGATTAACGGTCCACAAACGGACCGACTGTAACGACAAGCTGAATTTGGCCCACAAGTAGAAAATGACAGTAACGGGTCATAAGTACTCGAGTGTGCAAATGAGCCCAAGAATAAATGGGCCCTCAGAAGGCCGAAAGATAACTTGGGCTGGAAACGGCACAATGGAATAACAGGTCGTTAATGGGTATAAAGTGATACACTGTTCATTACGGCCCAGTTTCACCACAGGCCGTTTTTGGGTGTAAAGTGATACACTGTTCATTACAGGCCAGTTTCTACACTGGCCGTTAATGGGGCAATAGTTACAAAGGGCCTCATATGGGCCGAAAGACGTCATGGTCCATACATGGGCTAGAAGTGAAAACGGTCTGGAATCATATTGGATGTCCCAGATGACGCTACTGGGCCTAATTCGTATAGGGCGTAACGGGCCTTGGGATAGCGGGCTGTAAATGGGCTATACGCGAACAGGCCATTAACAGGCTTTCCATGGGCCGGCCCGCCACCTTTTGACCAAGTCAAATGGGCCGGCCTTTTCACAGGAATGGGCCACTATTGGGCCGTGCCACGTGTCGACGTATCATAGGCGCCTTGTGTCCATTGAGTGGATGACATCTGTCCCAACGATGAGCCGACACGTGTTTCCTCCAGCCAATGATGATTGTACACGTGGAAAATCCCTATTGGTCGAGGCTGTTAATGGGTTATCGGATCCAAAACCCGACCCGATAGCTTAACGGCATTCCGTTACGGTGGATACCATGTGTCGGTCACCCTTGACGAAAGCACTTCTGTGAAGCGCGATTTATCGTCATGGAAGTGGACACTTCCGTGATGATAATTTTGGTAATGTCATGGAACACTTCTACAACAGCACAGGTATGACTATCTTGATTCTGTCATAAATTTGCCATGGATGTACATGCATGACAAAAAACGTGACCTACTATGACAAACACGTATCATCATGGAAGTGTATTTTTTTTGTAGTGATACGAAGTATTACTCGGTGAATAATTCGAAAAGGAAAAGGGTAGATGGGACGTTCATTTTTTACAGGGCGTTCCAAAGGTAAACAAAGGTGAAACTCCATTTGCTGTTCTAAGGTTCGCGCATCTCTTTGATGGAAATGACTTTGTCGAAGAGATAGATAATTTCAACGTAAGTTTTCACTGAAAACTCGCACTAAATCTACTAGATGTCATACAATTGCATGAACTAATTTTGATGTGCTTTTTCTCCTTGTTTTGCTGAACTTTTTACAGGATGACACGGAACAATGGAAAGCAGAACAAATGTGCAGGCTGTTATTTAGCAAGCAGAATGAAATCAAACCCAGCGCAATGGGTGATGAGATTAGAAAGATCTTCGAGAACATCGCAGTCCAAAAGTTGTTGATAACCGAACGAGCCTAGATCCATGGAAACCTCAGAAAACAGTTTAACCGCACCTGATAATGTGATAATGAAGCAACAGACTCTTTTTATTAATGTACTTCCTTGTTTCTTCTGTAACCGAGTATTCGAACAAAAGCTAGTGCCACTAGACACTTCACAACTGTCAATCCAAATGGTTGATAACCATGCCCCATGAAGCCACAAGTCCGTCCGTAGACATGCGTCATGACTCTACATACTCCTCACGCGTCATCGCTCGTAACTTTGATGTTTTGCCTCTGTGCAACCGTGTGCAGATGCCACAAACCTACAATGCTCTGTGCATCTGGCATGAGTGCAGGCGGACTCTCTAAACGAGTATTCGAACCAATGCATGTGGTACCACCCACTCGTGCCTTTAGATACTTCACATCTATGCATCCACAATGGTGCCTCCCTACTTCAGTATCAGCAAGCATGCATCTGCTACGACACCACCATGCATCCAGAGGGTTGAGAGTGGTGCCTCACGAATCCATCCACCCCTTGCAGTGACTCTTATGTGCTCGTGATGCCAGACATGCCTGACTCTCTAGAGGCTTGAAAACCGTGACTCTCTAACTGCGTATTTGTAAGCATCCCTCTGGTACCACACTTTCGTGCATCCACAGGGGTGATACCTATTGGCCTCCAGAAACCCCACTTCCGTGAATCTTGTGGCTTCACTTCCATGACTTTCGTGCCTGCATCCATGTGCCTAATGTGTCACGCCCCGTGACTCTTACATGGTCACGGTACCACGCCCGTGTTGCTTCACAGATGTCACAACCGTGCATCTCTAGCCGAGCATTCGGACACATGCCTCTGCCACAACACTCTTGTGCATCCACAAGGTTGATACCTATGCATCAACAAGTCCCAAGCACGTAAATGTGGTACCTTCACTCCCGTGCCTTCCGCACCTACATCCAGGTGCCTCACATGACACTTGACATGACTCTTACATGCCCCATGGTGTCACACACCCTTGGCTCTGCACACTTCCAAACTCTGACCTTCTAACTGAGGATCGGACCTCACCTCTCCTACTCCATCCACGTGCCTCTGGATGCTTGTAGTGCCTTCATTTCTGTAGACACTTCACTCCCATGCCTCTGGCCCCTGTAGTAAGACACGCCCGTGGCTCTAGAGACTGCAAGCATGTGCCTCTCTAACTGTGTATTCCGACCCATGCCACTGTTGCCACTCCTCGAGAAGCCGCGCTTATGTGCACAACAAAACTATACTTACCGTCCCAAGACTGCTTTGTATTTTGTTGTACTTAGAGTGAAGAGCAACATAACTACTTCAAAACGACATGATTGCTCAATAAACATAATAGTAAGCAAGCTAAATAACTTGTTCAATCACATAAACAAACTAAGAACTTTACATAAACAAACTTGCTTAACTTGATACACATGACATTAGAAATTGGTTCATTCTAACATAAGTAAACTACAAACTTGAAACAGTAGAAAGGACAAGCAGAAAAATAAGCAACTCTATGGCCAGATTCCTAAATTTTTGTCATCACTAGTAGTCGTAGTAGGGATCATCATAGTTCTTCTCTGCCTCTTTTGCACTCTCCAGACCTTCTCTGATGTTTTCAATTATCTTCCATGACTCGTAGGTGGCATACGCATCTATCACTGCATACTCGATGAGGTAATCTGGCAGTGGGATGATCCCCCACAGTTTATGGTCTTCATCCCTGTCAACCTATTTCTTCATCTTGTTGTAGAATGGGTGGATCACGCTGCCTGCAACATCAGCCAAAGAGTGGAACCTCTTTCTTTCCTTGAACAGAACTATCCATTTGTGCTGGATGTCGATGTACTTGTCGGGGTTGATCTCCAAACCAGATCTCCACAGCATCTCTTAGTCACCTTCAATACCGAAGCTGGCAAAGGTGTAGAACCTGTCCTCCTTCAGGAACGGGCGCAGGCTCTTGGGCCTGCAAGGCGGATGACAGATTGAAGGTGGATCCATCAAGTACATGCTTATATAGTATAATTCATGGATGAATTTTTTTCAAAAACTACTATAAAAAGTTTAGAAATTAAATACAAGCACAGCATGTTATTATTCTTTTTGTATTTACACTTGAGTCAATGACCTATCTGCTTCTTAACGACATTACCACATCAATTCAAGAAACTGAACTATAGCATCAAGAACAGAAACTACACTAGAACATCAAGTTCAGAAATTAATGTCGTACATCAAATTCATAAATTAATCTAGTGCATCAAATTCATAAACTAATCTGGTGAGGCAGGTTCAAAATCTATTCTGCTACAACTACTTCAGAAACTCCACTAGTACATCAAGTCCATAAACCAATTTAATCAAATTTCAGGGTGCATAGCTAATTAAACGCAAGCATGAAGAGGTTGGATTTGTACGATGGTTCACCATCTTGTTGTCGCGGTGATGTGGTATACCAGACAGAGTTCCTCCATGCATAACTGCAGAATCGCTGCCCTCTGCGGAGGTTTGTCTTCCCTGGTGTACTCGACATTAACGCTGATGTGTTGAGGGTACAAGCCGCAGACCCTCTTCATGATCCTTCTGATCATCTTGTCGGCTTCGTCTGGATTGCTGGTGCATATGACATCAAGCTTCTCCTTGCCGTGGATGTCAACCTCCTTGAGGTACCTTTTGTTGTGCTTCTGACCGGGGACCTGAACATCGTCGACCTCGCTGCTCTGGTCGGACGTCTCACCATGGGGACGCTTGGCAGATGGTTCCTCCGTCATTACCCTCCTCCAATGATGGCGGGCTTGAGACAGAAATTGTGGGGAGTTGCTACTTGAGATGGAGAGGCAATGGTGTTTTCGGAATTGAGCGGCTACGGAAACACAGTTGCCTTTTTGTGGCAAGGTTTAGGTCATGGAGGAGGTAGTTGGACGTGGCCTCGTCGTGGTAGTGGGGGCGGTAGACATGCGCTCGCCGTTGCAGTGCGTCGGGGCAACCGCCGAGCACCCAGTGGCAGCGCTCGCGGTTGCCGGGAAAAAGCAACCGTCAAAGCGTCCGCTTAAGCATGTACAAATGTTTTTGCATATACGACATTTAAGCACATACTGCACTGGCACACATAGATAGTGTGCACTTTGTTTAGCTACTATGTTGAACTGCATGCACCTTTCCCGATGCACGCCACTGCTACCACACGACAAATGTTGTAGAGACTTCACACATGTGGACCCACAACCAATACTCTCCAAGTAGGTATTCGCATCCATGCCTCTACTACCACACTTCCCGACCCATGACTCTCATGTGCCTGTGGTGACACACGCTCGTAACTCTAAAGACTTCACAACCATGACTCTCTGAGTGAGTCTTCGGATGCATGCCCCTGCCACCACACATTTTGTGCATCCACAGAGTTGATACCAGTGCCTCTAGAATTCCAACATCGGTGCATGTATAGCCTGGTGTTCCGTGCCTCACACGTCTATTAAGATGCTATAGCAAACAAAAAAAACCACAGCCAGGCGGCACGAATCTTGATGCTAAAATCGACCGTCGAAGATTACAGACGGTTCCAACATTTCCATCTCTCCCACCTCCACTACTCTCTTGCTTCCTCTCTTCCACAGTAAATCTCGAAACATTCCGCGCTCACACACGGTCTCCTCCTCCCTTCTTCACACGGGCCCAAATTCAAAGTAGAGATCCCCTCACAAAACAACTACCACTGTGATTCGCCAACCGCCCTCCACTTCGAGATACACACCGTCAAACGGTGCGCCCAACAACACAAAATACCCACCCGGTGGCAACGAAGCAAGGACTTCAACACCGGCGGCGGAGATCACAACAAAAAAAGAGGAATGGACAGAATAGAACAATGGAGGCAAGAACCCGAACACAAGAAATCAAAGGTAAATATGAATCTGTCCCATTACATTCCTCGAGGTAGATCATAGTGATTTCTCCATTTCCAGGGATAGCAACCCTAGCCACCTCAACAGCCGAGTTTTGCACTAGCAAAAATCAACTTGTCTAACAAATTGAAGTACCGTACACACGAGATTTAATAGAAACGCTACTACTCCGTGCTATGGAGTTTTCACCACACGATATGTGCTTAAACGTACTATACCTGCCATATCACTAACTAGAATACCTCAAAACAATTCAAACATTGCGAGCATACTGAGAGCTCAAACTTGGTAATTACACCAGATTTTCTATGTCCCTTGTCCCTTGATTATAACTGTTTTCAAGTTAAGTGCCTCATGTCCATCACTGCAGTGGCTTTACTTCAGTGGCTCATATACCTGCATCCGTTCCTCCTGTGCGTTCAATGTCGTGCCTCCTGTGCCTACATCCACGTGCCTCACGTGATAGTTGTCGTGACTTTTAAGGGCCCGTCGTGCCACACCCACGTGACTTCACAACCGTGGTTCTCTAACCGAATAGTGGGACCCATGACTCTGCAACCACATTTTTGTGCATCCAGAGCGTGCACGTACGTGCCTGTGGTGCCTTCACTTCAGTGCCTTCCGTGCCTGCACCCACGTGCCTAACGTGACATACACCGAGACTCTTATACGGTCCCGATGCCATGCCCAAATGGCTCCTGAGGCTTCACAATCGTGCCTCTGTAACCGAGAATTCTGACACATGCCTCTGCCACCACACCCTTGTGCATCCACGGGGTTTATACCCCATGCCTCAAGAAGCCCCAAGTCCATGCCAGCGTTGCCTTTAATGTCGTGCCTCCTATGTCGGCATCCACATGCCGCACGTGACACTTGTCGTGACTCTTACGTGCCCCGTAGTGCCATACCCACGTGATTTCACAACCGTGGTTCTCTAACCAAATATTCGGATACATGCCTCTGCCGCCACACTTTTGTGCATCCAGAACATGCACGTATGTGCCTGTGGTGCCTTCACTTCTGTGCCTTCCGTACCTACACCCATGTGCCTAACGCGACATGCGTCATGACTCTTACGTGGTACCATTGCCACTCCCGCGTGGCCGTTGAGACTTCACAACCATGCCTCTATAACCGAGAATTCTGACACATGCCTCTGCCACCACACTCTTGTGCATCCACAGGGTTGATACCCCGTGTCTCGAGAAGCTGCAAGTCCGTCCCTGTGTTGCCTTGAATGTCGTGCCTGCTGTGCCTCCATTCATGTGCCTCACGTGACACTTTCCGCGACTCTTACGTGCCCCGTAGTGCCACACCCATGTGACTTCACAATCGTGGTTCTCTAACCGAGTAGTCCGTCCCATGCCTCTGTCGCCACACTTTTGTGCATCCAGACGGTGCACACCTGTGACTTGACAAAACACACATATGTGCCTGTGGTGGCTTCACTTTTTGTGCCTTCCGTGCCTGCACCCACGTGCCTAACGTGACATGTGTCGTGACTCTTACATGGTCCCATTGCAACTCCCGTGTCTCTCCTGAGACTTCACAACTTTGCCTCTTTAACCGAGCATTCTAACACATGCCTCTGCCACCACACTCCTATACATCCACATGGTTGATACCCATGCCTCGATAAGACACAAGTCCGTGCTTGTGTTGGCTTCATGTCAGTGCCGCCGATGCCTACATCCACGTGCCTCACGTGACACTTGCATGTCCCGTGGTTCTCTAACTGACTGTTACAAGCTTCACTTCCGTGCCTCCTGTGCCTGCATCTAGGTGCCTATAGAACCTGTACTTTCGTGCCTCGTGTGCCTGCATCCACATGCCCGTAGAGAGGCTCCACTTCAGCACTACCAGTCTCAACAATAAAAATAATAATACTATAGCAAACAAAAAAACCCAAGCCAAGGAGAACAAATCTTGATGCTCAAATGAACGGTTGAAGATTAAAGACGGTTCGATGGTTTCCATCTCTCCATCCCTCTTCTACTATCTTGCTTCCCCTTTCACAACGTAAATATTGAAACCTTCATCACTCCCGCACGTTGTCCTCCTTCCATCTGCCCACAAACACAAATTCAAAATCGAGTTCACGTCACCGGACAACCGCCACCGCGTTCACCAACCGCCCTCCAATCCGACATACAGACAGCCAAACACTACCCGCGACAACACCAATAACCCTGCTGGTTGCAGCGATCAACGGTGAGGACTTCAACAGTGGCGACAGAAATAGCAACAAAAAAAGAGCAATGACACAATAAGCGGATGGAAGCGAAGAACACCACACAAGTAATTGAAGGTAAATATCATTCTATCCCATTCCATTCAACCAGGTAGATCGTAGAAATTTTTTCACTTCCAGGGACAGCAACCCTAGCCACCGCTACCAAGGAGTTTTCCAATACCCAAAATTACTTTGTCTAACAAATTGAACTAGCGTAGAGATGAGATTTAATAGAAATGCTACTACTCTCCGCCTTAGAATATTTGCCAGACGATAAGTGCTCAAAGATACTATACCTGCAACATCACTAACTGGAATACGTCAGTAGATCCAAACCCCGCAAGCATCCTGAGAGGTCAAACCTGATAACCACACAAGATTTTCTACATCCCTTGTCCCTTGACTGTAACCGTTTTTCAAATTAAGTGCCTCTAGAGTGAAAAAACATGAACAAAGAATAAATGTACCCTGTGCTTCTAGGGTGAAACAACCAATGCCCCTCTATCCACACAAATTTGTTTTCACACCACATAGTTTTTTTCTGTGACACTGAACTCTGCTTCTAACACCTGGCCATTTTTTATGCAGCAATGAGAAACCCTCACAAAGAAGCTAACACCTAGCAGAGTACTGACGAAGACCCTGCCGAAGAGCATGCAATACAGCAAGCTCCTGTCAAAGGTTTGAGCAAAGTGTCGACTGTCGATCTACCAAAAACTATATAGAGACATTAATAACTTAACTACTCTCCTTGACAACAATAACTTAATTATTTCTACAAATAAAACTACCTACCACTTTATATATATTTATTTATAGAAAACTTTAAAAATCTTCACACACTATCTTATATTTAATTCAAAAATAGTTTATCTTACCCAGTAAATCTTCAATTCTGCTTGATGATATTCTTGCCATTATGAAATATCACCTGGAGTGTGCATTTTTCTTTTAGAAAATGATTCACCCTAACTTCACTTCCCCAGCTGCACTTATAACCACAATTAATATATTTTTTCCATCCCGTGCTTACCTCAATAGATAACACTAGTAATAACCTTTTTAACGTAAAAAAAGAAACTAAAAATCCCCTTTGGGAGTTCCACATTCCTTATGCATAATCGTGGAAGAAATATTTTTTAAATCTGTATCAAATTTTTTACGACAAAACTATATCCTTTTTTTGTTACCTGGTCATTATGCAGGACACGAAGACGATGATATTGAAATCGCAGACACACACAACATGTCCCCTCATTCGTCACAAAAGGACACACAACAAAACATGAAGAACAAAGCACCTGAAATGGTAACTTACACCAAGCTCATCAGGAGTAAAATTTAGCAACAAGCAAAAAGAGAGAAAATCAGATACCAGCACTATTTTTATTGCTGGAACAAAAAGGCAAAAGCAAAAGGACAATGTTGAAAACAATGTCGACACTAGTACCTTGCAGCATCAGCTATTGCCTCTAATGATACTCCCGCCAACAGCACCAACCGCCACGAAGAAACAAGGTGAAAGCAAGAAGAAAAACAAACGACAAAGGGTAGAAGAAGAACAAGACGATACTAACAGCAAAGGTTCAAATACCGATGATGCCGACGATGACACACAACATGATGCAGATTT